CCCCAAAACCCCAAAACCCCAAAACCCCAAAACCCCAAAACCCCAAGAATTAAAATAAACTTGAATTTTATTTATTTTATAATAATTTGAATTTCTTGAAATGGAGTCGACTCCTCCAATTGCTTCGACCCCGAAGTTTGCATTCGGGATCAACGGTAACATGCGGAACTGCATCTTCTTCCTTGATGACCAGAGAGTGATCTACCCATGTGGCCATAATGTGATCATCCTTACAATTGGCGATGACAAAACTCAGGAATATATTCCTTGCATTGAAGGAAGTGAAGGGATTACAGCCATGGCTTTATCATACAACAAAGCCTATCTTGCAGTCTGAGAAAGGTCAGAGAAAGCTCTCTGCAGCATCTACTCATTTGACAATAAGAAACGGAGGAAAATCATTTGCTCGGACAACCTGAATGACAGAGAATTTATATCTGTGGCGTTCTCTCATCAAAACGAGAAGAACCACCTTGTAACCTTGACTGGAGGCCAAGACGGAATGGTCATTCTCTGGCAGTGGAAGAAAAGCAAGTGCATCGCTTATCAGAAAGTCGGTATTTCTGAAGGTCAGACGCTCTACGACGTGTCTTTCAGCATCCAAGACTTCAACTCGCTCATCGTCACTGGTAACGGAGTCTACAAGTACTTCAAACTCAAAGACAATGGACTCAGGCCTGAGCATTCTGGGCTGAACCAGAAGCGAGAATATCACTTCAGCAACCACTTTACATGCCACACTTGGCTTCCGGACGGTAAAGCCATCGTTTGTACCGATCAGGGAGAACTCCTGCTTCTGGAATCCACCGGAGAACTCAAAATGTTTCTGTCCTGAAGCCCAGGAGATGGCTTCTACATCGAGAGCATCACCACATATTCGAAAGGGTTCATGATTGCAGGTGACACTGGACAAATCATGGTCTATGAGAAAACTGATGAGCCCAAGAAACCGTTCGCTTACGTTGCAACTTGGCCAAATGAAGACCCTAAGAAAGAAAAGAAGTACTCTGAATTGTTGCTTTCGATTATGGCCAGCAGAATAAAATGCATTGCTCTTTCAAGCAACGATGATACCCTTGTGTTCTCAACTGAGAACAACCAGCTTATGAAGGTCAACGTGAACCTGGAGAAATCAAGTGAGTCCTCGATCAAATACGAATACTTGATTTACCCATTCCATTCGAAAGCCATTACAGGACTCGATGTATGCATCAAGAAGCATCTTGTGGCAACATGTTCTGCTGACAAGACTGTCCGGATCTGGAACTACGGAGGCCAAACACCCAAACTTGAAATATGTGAGACCTTCCAAGAAGAAGCCAATTCAGTTGCATTTCACCCATCAGGATATCACATTGTGGTTGGCTTTACCGACAAAATCCGGATGATGAATGTGTTTTCTGAGAAGAAACTCAGCACTTTCAAAGAAATCCTGATTAAGTCTTGCAGAGAGATCCAGTTTTCAAACGGAGGCCACTTGTTTGCTTGTACAAACAGTGACATCATTCAGGTGTATAACTTCTACACCGGAGAGAACCTCCCAACCATGATTTTCCATGAGCATGAAAGCAAAGTCAGGTGCATTTCATGGGCTGAAGATGACAGCTACTTTGCTTCAGCTGGCTGGGACGGCAAAATTTACGTTTGGAACATCAAGAGCAATACCAAGCCAGAATACAGCTTTGAAAGCAAGGGAACCAACTTCACTTCAGTAGCCAAAATGCCTCACCACAACACGTTGTATGCAGTCAGCTCAGACAGAATGATTCGAGAGCTTTCGTACAAAGTAAAGGAAGATAAGAACGACGCATCCGTAGCTGCTCACATTTCGACTGATAAGAAGGAAACGGAGTTCCCCATCGAAGCCCGAGAAGTCCTCAGGTTCGACGCCAACCCCACCAAGTTTTCGCAAGTTGTGCTGCTTAACGGAGGCAGAGGCATGATCGTGGGAACCGCAGACGAGTCAAGGCCAGGCATGATCATGATATTCAGGCCGGACATGGAGCGGGCTTGAGACATCCAAGCACACTCGCAGCCAGTGGAGCGACTGAAGCTGAGCTTCGACAACCAGACTTTGTTCAGTGCTGGCCAAGATGGCACATTCTTCATTTTCAACTTAGAAGATCCTCTTTTCAAGAGTCAGAAAGAGCCACCTCAAATTCAGCCATCTGAGGAAATTTTATGAGAAAAAGCTGAACTCAGAGAACTTTTACAGGCTATTGAACATCTTAAACGTGAAAACGATAGTCTGACTCAACTTAAAGAAACTGAAAAGAAGCGTATTGAAGCTGTGAACAATGAACAAATTGAGAAGCTCAAAGAAGATAGAGATAAAGCTAAAGAGGCTGCTAAAGCTAAACAGAAACAATTAGTTGATGAAATTGCAGAGCTCGAAGCAAGATACAAAGACCAGATAGAAAAGAAGAATCTCTCAAATCAAGACGAGCTTGAACGTAGAGAGAAAGATTTCCAAGAGAAGAAGCAACAAGACATGCTTCGTTACAAAGAACTAGAGCAAAAGATGAAGGAAGAGGAGGAAAAGATCGAAGCTCAGATTAATAGACTTCACCTCGAACATGAAGAAGCTCTTGAGAAATTAAAACTAGACAATGAGAAGGAAATCAGGAAAATGAAAGATCGTGCTGCAGAACTTATGGAACAAAAGATGAGCATGGAGAAGGAGAATAAGACTACTAGGGACGAACTAGAGAATATGTACTGGGAAGAGATCGATGAAATGAAGGAGAAGAATAAGAATGAACTTTATAAGCAGACCAAGCTAGGTCTTGACGCTAAGTCAGAACTGACTACTATATCAGCGAAGTGTACAGAAGCCAAGACTGATAAGGAAGGCAAGGAACAGGAGATTAAGGAGAATGAAGAGAAGTTGAATAATGAAATTCAGAACCAGAGAGCATTGAAGAGTGAGATTGAGAATCAGATTAATGAAATTGCAGAGAGGAAAAGAACTATTGCTGATAAAGAAACCAGGATTTTCCAGTTGAAGAAGAAAACTCAGGAGTTGGAGAAGTTCAAGTTCGTGCTTGATTATAAGATTAAGGAGCTTAAGAGAGATATTAACCCCAAAGAAGCAGAGATTAATAAGCTCAATGAACAAACCACCAAAATGGACCAAGAGTTGAAGCATTTTACTAGAGTCAATGAGAACCTTGCTTTGATTGTTGATGATCTCCGTATGAGACAAGAAGGGCTCCAAAAAGAAGTCGAAGGCCAGAATAAGAAGATTGAAAGTCAACAGAAGTACGTTAAGAAGTTCAATGATGATCTCTTTGACTGAGTCAACAATCTTAGCAACAAGAAAGCACTTAAGAAGGATATTATCAACCTTCACAAGAAATATATTTTAGAAGAAGCCAGTTCTAGTAAAGGTAGCAAGATGGAAGGAGAGGCTGATATTCAGAAGAAATATGCTGCAAAGAGAAAATATCTTGAGAAGAGTGTCAATTATCTTAGAATCATGATTGCAAAAGACTCTAGCAATCATAAGCAAGAATACACTAGGTATATGAAGGAGAATGTCACATTGCTCCAGGAAATTAATGATTTAAGAAAAGAAGTTAAGACTCTCGAAGCAACCTTTAAGAGTCAGAAAAAGAGACAGAAAGACACTATGGGAAGCAGGTTCTCTGCTCGTGATGAAATAGGAGGCTCTCAACACGGAAATATGGACCCAGAAACTGTCAAAGAACTCAACATGCAGGACAACATTCTTCAGAATCTAACCAGAGAACTTGCAGAAATCAAAGAAGACAATGACAACCTGCAGACCAGAGCTAGGTCTTCGAGAGGTGCCAGGAACCTCGCTCCAATTCCAAGGCCAGAAGACAACAAAGAAGAAGATCCTGTCATCAACGAATCAGAAAAGAGGCTGGACGACTTCAGAGACGAAGAGGAGGCACAGAGATAAGAAACTCTAAAATAACTAAATGTCTCCCCAATATATCTTTGTTTCAATTTAGATGCACAACATCGGGGTTTTGGGGTTTTGGGGTTTTGGGGTTTTGGGGTTTTGGGGTTTTGGGGTTTTGGGGTTTTGGGG